AACCTATATACATTATAGTCTTTAAAACACGACAAATTGTTTTAAAACCATCTGAGATCTTGGTATTTTTTTTTTAAACTATATACTTTTTATTTCTAATTTTCTATTTGTCGGGTGACACTACTAAGTGCCCTCCCCCATCTGTTATTCTCGATATGTAAATACTATATCTAAATTACTTATTGTACTAAATTGTTGTATAGATTGTAATTATATTTTAAATAAAAAAAAAAAATTTCTATTTCCTGATAAAAGTATATTATTTAAAACGAATTTATAATTTTGTTGCTAATTATAAAATGTAATAAATACCTATATTGGCTAATGGCTATTATTTGTATAGAAAATATTTCAATGCTTCATATAATATTTAATATTTAATAGAAATAAAGAATGAATTTTCTTAAATAAAAAATAATAGTTTTGTGTCCAGTAGAGCCATTTAGGTATTTTATATAATAATATTTAATACCTAGTTAATATTAATTTTTTATTTTATGTAAAAGTGTGTACAACCTCTATAAGTTTTTGAATCATAAATGTATATTACATAACCAAAACATTTATAAAAAAAATTAGAATATCAATAAATTGGTACCAGTGTAGTGTGCTACACTTACTTGTGATCTACCCATAAAATGTGTTCATTGCTTTTTTAAATGATATGCATGCTACATTCATAAATAGAGACTAACTTTTATTTTTTTATATTATTATTATTATTTTATATTATGTGGATGTAATTTTTAAAACGAAACTTTTAATTGAAATATAAATTTAACGAAACTTAAATTATGTGGATATGATTTTTAAATTGTGATTTTTGAAATATGTGTGTTCCCACCTCCTTGTGATGTATTTTGGTTAATGCTAAGCGGCTCACAAATCTTGATCACCAAAAACAGGCTGGTAGATCGAACGCTACACCAAAAACGAGCTGGTAGATCGCACGCTATACTGGCACCAATTTGGCATCAATAAATTTATAAATATAGGTGACATTGCAATAAATACAATTTTGAAGGCTATCTGTATTATATCCAATAAAAACCCAAAATATTAATAAGTTTAAATTATAATCTAATTTTGGCAATAATAAAATACATTCTTTAAGAAAATCTTAAATTAGCCAATTGAGCATTATTAATTTTAAAATTGTTTTAAAATATAAAAAATTGAAGTACACATCAAATTGTTTAGAATACAAAAATGTATGATTTTAAATGTATTATAAATAATAATCATATCATATTGTATTTTATTGCAATGGACAAAGTAAAATTAATCTCACTTTGCACCACTTATTTTTGGTTTAGTTTCTGTTTATGTACTATCATGTGTAATTTAAAAGTTAGTGATTGAATCTAGCAAACAACCAAACAATTTTGAATGGTTCTTCAAGTGTACAGGATATGTTTTTGTATGATTACGTTACACTCTATTTTTATAATAGAATATAAAATGTATTAAAGTAGTATATCAAGTATATGAAGATCAATAAAAATTGTGGTTTATCAATATTCAAAAATTACATCATAAACAGATATCAGTTAATGTAATGCCAAAAATGTAAGAAACAATTTTTGTTGTTATATAAATTATGCTCAAATACAAGTTGAATAAAGTGTTAAGTAAACTATATAACAAAGTTTTCTACTTTAGAATAATTAATTATATAGGATTTACTATAAAAGTTATAAAAGTTTTTTTATTAATACAATAAAATAAGAAATGTCAGGTTTATAATTTTAAATGATAAGCAAATGTTGAATATTCAAAAAATTACCACAATATTTTTTTTATAATAGTTTGAAATATGGCATTATCTTACATATACTGACTTATCTTAAATAATTATATGTAGTTTTCAAGCTGTTTAAAAAAAAAAAAATGAAATTTTATGTTTTTAGAGTAGTGAATTACAATTCAAATATTGACTAGGTAATAAATGAAATTTTTAATTTTACTTATAAATATTTTATAAAGAGGCATAAGAAATATTTCATAAGAACATTTATTATTGATTTACCAATAATTAGATAACCCAATATTATCTAATAATACTAAGTATAACATGTAAATATAAGTAGATTAAATTATATTTATACGAACATAATGAAATGTTATGTTAAAATAAAAATCTTATTATTTTCTATCAAAAGTTAAAAATATTAAAATTATTAATAGTTAATTTCCTTTGAAATTAACATAATGAAATAATGCAACATTGTAAAAAAAGGTTTAGTCACTATCGAAACAATTTCATACAAATATGAATGGCTGGAAATTAATTGGTTTGCCTGGTAATAATGGATTTACTAAAATATGAATTATATTTCATAAGTATCACTGTGATGTAAGCAATATATAGACTTGTAAGTATAGGTAAATCCATTTGGGCATATTAGAATGAAAAGAAACATCCGTTTTAGATTCTTAATTAATATCTATTATATTCCACATTAAGGAAACATATTACACATAAAATTGAATTATAATAAATTCAAAGCTTTTATTAAAAAACTATTTAAGTCTTATGCTGATAATCTAAAATGCTTTTGCGTAAAGTATTAAAAAAAATATTTAGAACAATACATTACAATATTTAAGTATTATACCCACAAATACAATGATGATTGTTCATAAGTGATTGGTATCCATATTCCATAGACTTATTACCGCAGTTGCATCGAATGGTTACAAGACATTTTCAACCCAGCTTGTAAACAGAACCAAAGATCGTATCCAACCAAACCAGGTCAATGGATAAACCACAAAGCGCCAACTTAGATTAAATTCAAAACGAATTTAAACTTAACGTCAACTAAGTAGATTATCGTATTCACATGACAAACAATAGTTGTGAATTTTTATCAAATAACAAACATAGTTATATGAAAACTCACCTGTATTAATATTTAACTATAACCTCTGAATCCAAAAATCAGTTGAATAAAATGATATTATCAACGGAAATCAAACTATTTATATTTAATTTAAAACTATCCTTTAAGAATCATCAGAGCACTAAGAGCTAATATTGTTAGTAAAAGTTGAGATTAAAAATGATTTCACATTCAAACCACATTTTTTAAAAATGTTATTAAAAAAACTAAAATGTTATCATTAGTTTGTATGGACAATGTTCGGCCATTTTTACGTGCATGAGGCTTGGTTAAACATTTCTTATAAAACATGGTTGCCAATAACTGCTAACCAAAACAAACATATGCATTCACAATTATTTTTACAACATCTTTGGTAATAGTATTTCTACTTTCCCGCTAAATCAGACAACAGAGGAGATAAGATATTACATTACTTGATAGTTTCTATTATAGATGTTATTTTTTTTGCGGAGTAGTTGTAAATTAATCGACAGTCTTGTCAAAAATATAATTATGATATTAATGTTTGACCTCATCGGCAATATAGCGATATCGCTTATATCTAGTCAATGCTCAATAATTACTCTGATCCCTTGAACAACTACAGATTGATTCTGATAATCGGTTTCAACATGTATATAACAATTCTGTCGAACAGTGACGGCGCGAGGGGGTGAGCAATAGAGGCAGTTACCCAGGGCCTGCGCCTATAATTATAATTAAGGCCCCGCGGTTCTGATTTAACTGAATTTAAAATATTTTATTATTATAAATTATAAGACTCAACGTTTATTTTGCCCAGGGCTTCGCAAACTCTAGCACCGTCACTGCTGTCGAAACTAATTAAATGTCTTATTTTATAATTATATTAAGTTTATGGTTGCTATCAGAAAATTTTATAATTTATTATTGAATTATATTAATTATAATACAAATATATATATTATTGTAATTTTTGGTTTTTGTTTACAACATTAATATATTATAGATTTAAAGGAAAATTAGTTTAATTTATCCAGATTCTAAATTTGTAAATTAAAAGTATAACCAAATTAACTTTAATCTTATTGTAGGCATATTAACACTATATAGAGCAATGGTTTTCAACCTTGGGATCGCGAATCATAGGTTTGGGAGTCGTCAAAAATAATGGATGTAATGATTTTTCCATATTATTTAAAAAAAGACAAAGTATTGTTATCGGTAATTAAATTAAATTTTGATGAACAGGACATTTTTTTTTTTAAAGGGTCGCATAACAAAAAAAATAAGAAATTGTACGTCGCAATCTGAAAAAGGTTAAAAAACTACTGATATAGAGTACAGGAACAATAAATCTACACATCAAATAATAATAAAATACAAAAATAAATAACGTCAGTTTTAGTAGAATATTGTGACATTACTTTTTAAGGGGGCTCTAAGCTCTTCAAAACACTTCTACGACCAGCTATATTATACTGTTCCTCACATAGTGTCCCAAACATAGATGCACTCTTGAAACCAATAGTTCATGAAAACTGATACACGTGATAATGATAAAATATTATGAGACCAAATTTTATACTGCAGCAAATTATACTAGCTAAATAATAATTTTTCAATATATAAATATGTGGCATTTCATTTCGTTTACCAATCATTTGCTTTAATTTTTTATAAAATAATATAGATGCTACTTCACAATTAAAATTAAATTAAAAAAAATCATCTTCTGACTCGGGAGTGCTCAGTCAACTGAATAAGTTATAATATTATCGTAAATTGTATAATTTCTAAAGTCATATACATTTTATGATATAATTGATTGAATGTAATTACTTTGAAGTAGTTATCAATACTGTATTAGTTGATTAGCAGTAATATAAGATAATTTTAAAATAGGTACACATTATACCTAATATCTATTATTAATTATAGTAGATAAATTATGAACATTAGTATACATTATTGGTGAATTGAATTAATCGACCATCTGGATATCACATTTCTATATTTCAAGTTATCATACTATTCACATAAATGTGACAATATAATATATATATTTAAATACATAAATGTCAAAAGTTAGTAGTTTTTTTTTTTTTTAAAAAATTTTAGAATACCAACTTGTACATTTTTTTAAAAAATTTTAAGTACTATGGTTAACTCTTTATTGATACAAAATTGTTTTGATACAGATAATAAGAATCAATGTAATATTTCATTGATACAGATTCCAACAATATTTATTTATTTAATGACAATACAATTTAATAAACAAAAAAATATCATTCAAAGCAGGACTAAACTTGTTGAATATTTTTGAACAACGACGACACATGAAATATTTCTAAACAACTGGTTCTTTGTAGATTAATTTGTACCAATATCCACAGAGGCAACGCTTTGGTTCACCTGAATGCAACCACATCCATTTAATGTGTGATGCATCTTCTTCGCATACACATCCAATGATCCTAGCTTCAAAAGCAGATGGAATTTCAGTAGGTTTTTCTTTGGTACCTACACCTCGTTTAATGGATTTTAAATTGTAAGGGTCCTAAAAAATTACACTCAAATTGTAAAACAAAATTAAATTACTAAAGACACAATATAAAATAAAAAAAATATATAATTTATATAACCTAGCTTATTTTAAATCAAGTTGTATCAATAAATAATATAAAATTAAATTTTAATTTGTTAAGAATAACTTGAAATTTTGCAAGAAAAACCAAATAAGTAATTTTTATTTTTTTTAAATATGATATAATGTGTTAAAAATAATGTTATATGTTTGATAAATTATAGACTGATAACAATTCAATAGAATTAGAAACAAGAAACAAATAAACAGAACTCTGTTAATTTATTATTGTTTAGATATACATTTTATAGTTTTTGGATTGCATATTTAATAATATAAATCAGTTTTAAAATTTTACTTACATCATTTCCGGCTAGACGCAAAAGCATTTCTTTTTTTTCAATACCAGTGGCTAATTCCAATGGATCAGGAAATTCTAGAAAAATTAAAATAATATTAATAATAAAATTCACTATTTATTAAGCAATTAGTTAACAATCTAATTTTTTTTTTATTTTAAATGTTGTGCCTTTAAATTGACTTATTGCAAGATTTATATTAAATATTGAAAATTATACATATTATTACATAATAATAGATACATATTCTTGATTTATTTTAAATTTTAAATTAATTATAAAAGTATTATTTTTTAAATAGTTCATAAAAGGTTATACAATAAATTATATTACAATTTTACATCATCTAATTTTTTAATGTTAATAAAAATAAAAAATTTAATTAAAATAAACTAGAAAATAACAAATATTAAACATGGAAATTAAAGAAAATAACTTTTTCTCGATCATTCAGTACGCAAATGTATTTAATAAAACAAAATTAAATTAATAATTTATAGGTTTTACATATTAAATCACATTTAAAATAATTAATATTATTTATATAATTTTAAAGAAAGACATGATTCATAGTTATTTTCTGTAGTAGTATAGTACATATTTCATATTTTAACATATTATTATTTTGATTTCTTATTAATAAGATATTAACTGATTTTTATGCAATTCGTATAATCCATTCTAGAATATTGTCATTTATGAAAAATTAATAATAAAGAAAAAATAAACACGGCATTTATATTCGAGAAGAGATAATTTCATGTTGAATCAGCTAATATACAAAAAATGTTTTATAACAATATTTATATGTAATATAATAGCATGCATACATTGAATTATATTAATTGTTTACCTTTTTTTTATGCTTTAGTTACAAGGAATTTAATTCAATAATTATATTAATATTTAATTTTATCAGTTATAAATTAACTGATTAATAAAAAAAAAGTAAAATTTACCTATTAATTTAATAAGATAATTTATAAAATAAATTATTTACAATTATCATAAAATTATGAACATCAGTGATAAAAAAATTTTATTTATATTTTTGACATTCTGTCAGCCAAGAAACTCAAATGAATGTCAAAGCCAAAGTCAACATAGAAATATAGCTTTCTAAATGTCACTAAATTAAAGCTAAAATCAAATAATTTTCATAGAAATTGTCTTACTTTAACAGTTCTTATAATTAGTTTGAATAACATAATAAATCCTTATGAATAATTCCAAATAGAATAACTATTCACATAAAAATGTAAGATGTAAGTCTACACTCTGGAAAAAAACTGATATCATAAGTAAAAAGATAATAAACTAATACAATTCTGATAATTATTTTATGAGAAAAAAGGAGTCAAAGTATAATAAATATAACACAGTAACACAAAATGATTACAAAATTTATGCTCTTATACTCATCAGAATTTATAACAGTACAAGTACAAAAATTAAAATTATACTATAATTTAATTTTTAACTTATTTAATAAACTACTTTTCAATAGCGTGTACTTTAAATAGTATTAAAGTATTCACTATCACTATAGCATACTACAAATATACTGTTGAAAATATTATTTACATAACTGATTATCAAAATTTACTTATTAGTAATTATTCTATAATGATTATTATTTAATTCCTATTAATTACTAAGATAATTAGCTTTATACTTTAAGTTTAACCTTTTGGTAGCTTTTTGTAAAAACATATTTTTTTAATGATCTATACTAAAAAATCAATAGTTATTTTAATCAATACAACCATTTAGATATTATGTCATTTAATAATATAGTCGAGTATTGTGGCCATTTTAAAATCAATAATAATTTATCCATTATTATAATTATTACTTAAATAACGCAATATAAAAATCTATATTAGCTTACCATCATCTTTATTGGTATTAAGCCGCACGGTCGAAGTTGTGAACATTCGTGGTGAACTCCGGAAAGCGAGCTTAGTGCCCAGGACTAGTAGTCTAGAATTCATTTCTATGTCTTGGCGTTTTAATGGATGTAAAAAGCCTACAGTCGAGATGGTAAAATCGACAACTTTTTTTCGCCAAAATCTGGCTCAAACTTGCTGAGCATAACAGCAATGAAAATTTATTGAGATTGGCTAACACATGATTATAGAAGGTCAATTTACGCCTACCACTCATGTAGAATGTTGGTTGCACTGGTATAATATTTTTAGTTTTTGTAAAATATCTAAAAACAATTTAAATTATAATTAACTTCAAAAAATTTAAATGGTTATGATCTATTGTTCTAATTCTGTTTAATTATTTTTCGTAATTAATTTTTAATGTAGAAATCTTCACTTATTTTCTCGGGAAATTCCGTTTCGGTACGTTTGTAAGCCTGTACGGTTTCTCACTGTTGTTAGGCTATCTCAACAGTGCACTCGGTTCTCTCCTTTTTCATCAAACGTGCTTGTTATGGAATGAGTAGTTTGGTTTTCACTTAAATTGTTTCGTCTTTATGTGAATAGTTCCATCGCTGTTTGCCAGCTCCAAGGTATGTATTCTCCTAAAATGTTTGTTTTATTGATCTACTCAGTTTTGCGGAAAGTGTAAATCTGTATTATTAAAAGTCTATTGGATAGGTTACATATCATGGTGTGCGTGTACAAATGTAGTATTACGTGGATTTGACAAATATTTTGTTCTATATGAAAAAAAAAAGTTTTTGATCATTAATGTTGCTGAAATCTCAAAATATACCTCTTTTAATTTCCGTTTTTATTTCTATTGGTGGAAACTTTTAGGTATAGGTTATATATTTATAACTTAATAACGTGTGTTTATATGGTATATACTTAGGTTAAGTGATACCGTCATTGATTAGAAAACTTCAAAAATTGTTTTGTATAAAATTAAAAATATTTATTTAATTACTTAATGTGTTTATTATTTGAATGATATATTAAGAAATATCTATTTTTTTTTAAATTTTGAATACATGTATTCCTTATTTGATAAATTTATGAACTTCTTTAATAAGTTCCATGACTAATCTTTGTTAACATTTTTTTTTATATGTCTATAGATGCCAATTCCGGTGCAAGCTAAAATTGTTAAAAAGGGTAGTGCAGGCCCTGATCAGTTTGAGTTATCCATTGCTCAAGCTTTATTGGAACTGGAAAACAACAGTGACCTTAAAGCACAACTCCGCGAATTGTATATCACAAAAGCTAAAGAAATTGAACTCTTAGGAAAAAAGGTAAATTTGTATATAATAAGAATACAGTTAAAATCATTAAAATTTATAGATATTAAAAAAATATAATTGTTAATTTTGTTCATAATTTTAACCAAAAGAGTTCCTTATGGATTTTGAAGGTGATAGTTTTTTATTGTTGTAAAATTATTGTTATTATGTTGTTAATTTATATTTTACCATAATAAAGGAATTCGAGTATTTAGCTTTATGTATTTTTACTGATTTTATATAATTTTTTATAATTTATATATTAATTACTGTTATATGAAAATTTTATTAATGTTCACATTAATAAGGTATACAACTGGGAAATATATATTTTTTAATTACTAAATTCAAAAAAATATGAATATAACATTGTTTATCTACAAACTTAACTATTATGCCTAATCAGTTAAATTAAATTATTGTGAATATAGAATATTTAATATGTTAATTTTTGGTAAGATAAAAATCAAACTTAAAATATTTTTAAAGTGTAGAATAAAAAGACTACTATTTTCTGAGATAAAAACCAAAAAGAGCTATAATCTATATTTATACAGTCAACTCTCGATAATTCAAAGTTGATGGGACTGTTGAAAAATTTTGAATTACCTAGAGTTTGAATTGTTGAGTAGTTCAAAAAAAACAAGAGAGAAATAAAAAATTGAATTACTGAGAAGAGAAAAATTTTATTTTTTTATTATTGTACATAATTATTTATTTCAGCAAGTTGGATAGTATTAGGTGTTTATTGTTTTTAAAATGTAAATTTTAACTGTTTAATTACTATACTATGTAAATAAATTATTATTTTTTGAAGAAATCTGTAATGGTTTTCTGCTTGAATTTAGTTTTTTTCTTTCAGTAGTAATTTTGAATTTGACCCACTTATCACTAGAACTTTGCAACTGACCTAACGAAACTAAAATAAAACTACATTCGGCTGATGGCTATCGAAGAGATAAATTACGATTAGCAATGATTAAGAAATAAAATAATAAAGTTATATCAATTTAATCAATATGAAGTTTTATTAAATAATTCAATAAATTTCTATACGATTGTTTAGTAAATTATTAACAAAACAATTATAAGAATACAAATAATAATAAATCTGCTAAATATATTTTGAATTGCCGAGCATTGAACGGATGATACTTCGAATTGTCACGTGTTGCAAGTCTTCCCAAAGTTTAATTTTGAATTACCGAGTGTACTTAAATGCATTTTTTTTATTCGAATTACCGCATGATTTTCATGAACCAAGCATTAACTTTGAAATACTGAAGGTTTCAAATTATCAAAAGTCAACTGTAGCTCGTTTTTCGATTACATTAACATGCAGGTGGTTTGTACTTAACAGATAAAATTAAACTATCATCCACCCCAATTAAATTATTTGAAAATCAAAACTTATAATATTTTTTACTTAATTTTTTTTTTTTCTTTGTTTGTAAATGTCTTTCAATTCCTTATTTTAATTAATTTAGTTAAAAATGTTATTGAAGCTTATGAATTGTAACACTAATTTTTTTTCTGGATTTTTTTTTTTTTTTTTTTCATGCTTAGTCAATGTTTTGATAGTAGGTTAAACACCTCTGTTTTACCATTTATAATTGAGAATAGAAAATATTTAATATCTTTATTAATTTCTCAAGTATTAAATATTTTTATTTGTCATTAATTATTATTATTAATTTTAGAGTATCATTATTTATGTGCCAATGCCACAAAGAGCACAATTCCAAAAAATTCAAGCACGTCTTGTTAGAGAATTGGAAAAAAAATTCAGTGGTAAGCATGTTGTTTTCATTGGCGACCGAAAAATTTTGCCAAAACCAACCAGGAAAACTCGTACACAAAACAAACAAAAGCGTCCCAGAAGGTATTAAAATAGAATTTATAATTCCTTTTTTATTATATTTCTTATTTATTCTTATTTTTTTAAAATTTAGCCGTACATTAACATGGGTTTATGATGCTATTTTGGATGATTTGGTATTCCCTGCTGAGATTGTTGGCAAGCGCATTCGTGTAAAATTGGATGGTAAACAGATCATGAAAGTGCATTTGGATAAAACTCAGCAGACAAACATTGAACATAAGGTGAAGTTGTACTATAGTTATAAAATTATTTGTATTTATTTATGAATGATAAGTATAAACTAAAGAAATAAGATATTTGATTTTCTATTTTCTTAATATTTTGTGTGAAATATTTTAATTCTTAAGTCATGACTAGTTTCTTTTCCAATATGTAAAATTAAAAAATCCTTAGTATTAAACATATATTATGAGGTGTAACATTTTTTATATTTCATTGTAATTAAATATCACTGAATACAAGTTGCAATTAAATTATTGTTGTTACAGGTGGATACTTTTGCTTCAGTGTACAGAAAGCTGACTGGTAGGGAAGTAACTTTCGAATTTCCGGAACCATATTTATAAATCCTAATTTTTATTCAATAAAAACATGATTTGATGACTATAATGCATTTTTTTTTTTTTATGGTACAAGTTGATTAAAAATTAATTTAATGATATATACTTCTATTTAAAGATCTATGTGATAAATATAATTTTTACTCAAATGGACTTTAATATATAGAATATTACTATTAAATTTATAAGTATATTTATTAGGTATTATTTTAAAAAAAATGTTAGTTGAAAACCTTAAAACCTACACTTGTAGTTGAAGAATATTGTCTTATAAACAGGGCTCGTAAGTTCATGTATTTGCATATCAATCATGCAAAGTTGTATTTAATGGTAGATGACATAGAAATCCATATCAAGCTACCACAGTCAAATGTGTGGAATCTTATTTTGCATGTTTTTGCATATTTCTATTTTATCGGGCATATTATACAACATTCTATTAGACTCTATCAAAAATCTAAATAGAAAATATATATAAAATTAAAATTAGAAATTTTATTATCTTTTCTTATCTTCTTAATACTTGTACATTTAATATATAAATTTATTTCAAAAGTTTCAGATTTAAAATTAATTACTGACAAATATGTACATTATACAAAGTTCATGAAAGCTCAAAAATAATATTAAATAATATTTAAAAATTATTTTTTTTAAATTGTGACAAAAAAAAATGAATGGATAATTCATGCTTTTTCAAAAATTATTTGAGTAAGCATTTTTAGGTTCATTGTTTTAGATATTTCGTGCTTATAAATACATATTTTTAACTTTTTAAGGCATATTTCAAAGCATATTTTGAAAATTTTAAGTGCATAAATACATGTTTATTTAGGCATTTTTAGGGCATAAACTTACGAATCCTGCTTATAAATATTCGAAAATGAGTTTCTGTCAATTTTATGTTCTAAACAAATTTAATTTTTTCGTTTTTATGTATTTTAATACTAGTTGGAGTATATTGGTTAGCCTTAAATGAATTTTTTGAGATTTAAAATATAGAACAACATATTTGAGTTAATGATTTATTTTCATATCTGGTAGTTTGATATTAATTTCAGGTTTTTTTTGCTTTCCTGTAAAAACTTGATGAAATCAGAATATAAGGTCCTTGTGATTTATGTTAACTCTAGTCCAATGGTTCCCAACCATTTTAGTTGTGCACACCACCAATTTCATGAAATATCTTTGAAATGCTTATATATATTTATATGTATATAATGTGCATGTGTGTTAGTTAATATTTAGTTATTACAAAACTAATTAAAAAACCATTATTTATTCGGAATGTAACTTTGAACCAAATTGGTTTTTGAAAACTGAATTAAATTATTAACAAGTTTAACAATTTAATAAGACTTGATATTTCTTGTTCCCCACAAGAGGGTTAATATCTAGATTAAAACTCAATAATTTCAGATTTAAATCACTTACACATTCGTTTATTTTTTAAAAAATTTAATTTGAGCCAATTTTTTTAAATTTTATTCCAGAAATTTATTTTTTTTTTTATCTTATTTTAAAATATATATTTGAATAGCCTATATAAAATGTATCACAATTATATTTAATAAATAATAATAACCCAAATATATATTTATATTTCTCAACATGTATGTAACATATATGTATAATAAGAACAAATTTTAAATAATTTTTATTAAAATACATCTTTTCTACGTAAAATCACTAATTTTTAATTTAAATGTATTCCATTCTTTATTTTATTGTTTTATATTCAGTTCTATTTGAACTGATGTTGCTCAAATCAAAGTGATTTATCCTAAAATATTTGGTAAAAATAAATTATATTTATAATAAAAAAAATAAAACATAATATAAAACAATTTCTGTGCAAAATCTTCTTATGATAATATAATTAATTACAAAAGTACAAATCATAAAAAATTAAACTAATATACCACAATATTAGATAAAACATTATATAAAGATGTTTATTTAATTATTTATACATTATAATTTATTAAATATACCTACACGTTTTATTAAAATAATACCCAAATGTATTGTAGGGACTAAGCGTGTAGCTAGGTATTTTAATTTTAAATTTAAATTATATATTTTAAAAGGAGGGAGTTATTTAAAATTAATCGACAAAAAATTACTTTATTGTACAAGCATACAAATACATAAGTATATTATACATTAATATCTGTTCATGTGTATTACAATAATATATGAAAAAATGGTTAAATATTAAAATTTCAAATACACATTTTGTCTTTTATGTATATTTTAAATCGTGTATGATAAGATACAAAATCACTGCTTTAGTTTATTAGATAAAACAATGTAATGAGAAAACGGGTCTCGGCATTACATTACTGTTATCGTAATATGTATGTATTTCGTTATGATAAATATGTGTTTATTACGGTTCATGATGAATTTTTACTTTTATTAGACTTAAGTATAACATAGTCAAGGACATGGGCGGATAGGCTTACCGGGAAACCGGGCATTTCCCGGTGGGCCCCCCTTCGTATTTCGGTAATGGGGCCCTTTATTATGCAATTACCTACGATAGGAATTTGAATTTTAAAATAAAATATTATAATCTTATATCTATTACTATTTACAAAAGATTTCTTATCGACTCGCAGCCGCCGCGCTACCACCAATTACAACAACGATTACTACATGGCTGCGGGTAGTGGTCACGGCTGAAACTGATACCTTGTGAGGTGGGTAATAACTTACAAATATGTTGTTGTAGATACTATTTTTAGAATAATCTTAACTAAACATTGAACTTTTTCAATGCTGTCGTGTATTTGTCTGCGGTACTATAATATTTAATATTTTACAGGTATCTTATCACAAATTGTAGAATTCTAATTATTATATACTTATTGCACTATTGCAGATATAACGTTACTCGCAGTTACTCGTTAGTCATTTTTGTTAATAGTTTAAGTTGTATAGTTGATCAGTGTGACATACTATATTCCATAGTTCTTATATGTTGCATAATACATACAATTAAAACAGACGTTTACGTGCTGCTGTTTTATTTTATTCAATGGGCAATTCCAAAAAAAATACATAAAAGTGGAAGTGCTAAAAGAAAAAAAAGGAGAAAAATTTGCTTATAAAGGAAGGTCAAAACCCTAAACAAAAAAAAATTAAATTTTGTAAAATCAAGTACTCACATTGGTATAACTATAGGTGCCATACTGTATAATAATAATTTTTTTTTATAATTTAATATATTATTATCTATATCAATATAGGTGCTTATTAATTATTATAATTATACAATGTTATGTAGGAATATTAACTAAAATTACACAATATTTTATATATGTATCTTAATATCATTTTTACATTTGATAGCAATTAGCAGTATAAAATAAGTAAGGTTTGTCAAATAAATATACTTAAAATATTTAAGACACAAATTATGTTCTGGATGTGTCTATTTATAATTTTTAATTTTATTTGAAGTATAAAACCCTAACTTAAACACTTGTATAATTAGATATACATACTTAATTGATAATGGATGTTATAGTATATTTATATTATAGATATATTTTGCATTTTTGAGATGCTAATATAACAGACAATTTGTCAACTTATACTAAGCTAGAAGGTAAATTGATGCATTAATTGTATTGTATTCAATTTTGAAATAATATTAATAGTTAGTTAAATTAAAAAACAAAATTATAATAATATAAAACTTATTTAAGAAATACAATAGATCAGAATGTATTAGAGAGTATGTTGTTAATGAATGTAAAGATATTCTCAAAAAAAAATTGATTTTGAACACATTATTAATAAATTAGAAGCTAGAAGCCCTGTATTTGGTAGAATGTTATTATTTTAAAGTTAAAAACTAAATAAATGATTTTTAAAATATGTTTTGTTATACATTGTTGGATTGTGTGTTATGCTTTGTTTTGATGTGGTACTTAATAAAATTCATATAATAATGTATTTGAAAACGACTTTTTTTTAAGTTTTTTAAATTTTTAAAATTTCCCGATAGGCCAAAAATGGCCTATCCGCCCATGGTCAAGGGGGGGGGTGTTACAACACCTATAACACACCCTCCGAAATATAGGTCTGCGCATGCCTATGCCCACAACCATATACTGGCCCCTGGGCCTCTGTAGGGGCGGATTCAGAGTCGGGGAATTGTGGGTCAAGTCATTTCATGAGGGATGAAACAGAATTAGAAAAAATACTTTGTAGAAAAAAAAACAATATGTTCATAAAAGTGTATACCTACGATTTATGTTACATTTTAGAATTTGTGATACCACCGATAATAACTTTTTTACGATTAATAAATATAATCTAATTTTATCAGCGCAACAAACGTACGGAATAAAATACAATTTACTTTCTACTAAAACGATATAATTTAAAATATAAATTATGAATTGAAAAATTTTAAATTTTGAATATACATGGCATTCATTTTTCAAGTACCTAACTCCGATGGGCCAACTATCTATGAGTCCAAATCACGATTAAAGATAGGTTAGGTTAGCTGAACATTTCCCGACAATCGTGGTTTCATGATCTAAAAATTAGTTGTAGTATAAAAGTAAAATATTCTAGATTATATACTGGACATAAACAGTTACTGTAGGTATCACTCCTTCAAATTGGGACTCAGTAAAGGCCCATATTGTATACGTCTTGATTTTGATGGAAACTCTTATGATTTTTACCGTTCTATCAATCAATAGAACATACTTCAAGTACCTTTTTTCCTCTCTCAATTTTAATTTCTCAAATGTCAATGGTTTTTTCTCCAATAATGTAATCATTATTTAAGCCAATCTTAATTATACTCTGCACATTGCAATGCATTAGTCTGAAAATGTAGAAGAATGAGCTTTACAGTTGCCCATATTTTCTCAATTTTTTTGTATGTTTTATATTATCTTATTGTAATTTAATATTAAAATCTCTTTAAAAAAAAAAAAAACCAAATGAAGAATTTGGATATCAAATTTTTTTTGAGTTATTAAAATTGTCATAAAAAAAATAATTGTTTTTAATCTTTGTAATTAATTGTGTAGAGAATAATTTATTTTGTTTATTTTCTGGAGCAAATATAATTCCTTTATTGTTAAAATTTTTGAGTATAGACAGTAGAGTATTATTTTATTATTATTTTGTACCAATATAAGATTACTATTATTTTGATTAATCAAAATTTTCAAATGTATAAAAGTTATGCAACTAATAATTAACACAATGAAGATATCAAAATACTAGTAATAAAGTATAGCCAAGAAACTTGGTTTAAGATTCAATTATAGGTTATAAAAGCATAATATATATGCATATATTTTAACAAATATTATATTTCTAATACTTAATATTTTTAATCCACAAAACATCTTAACAATAAATAATAGTTAAAGTACGCAGAGCTTACAACTCATTTACATCCATAAAAAATAACCATGAACATTGTAATGAATATTAAAAAAAAAATATATATATATTTTAAAGTATATGGAACCTTAACCAAATGGATACAATTTAAATAAAACATATTGCATACTCTAGAATTAAAAATGACAGCAAAGTTTTTGTATAAAAAATAAAAATATTAAAATTATAATGCTTTTAAGTATAATTTGATGTAGTTTGTCATTTACATAATTTTAAAAGTTCTCATAATTAATAAATTTTTTTTTTTTTGATTACAAGTTATAATAATTGTACATATACAATATAAAAAGTTTAAAACTGTTAAATTATAAACATTTTTTTTGATAATCACTTTTTATTTTTTTCCAATTCATTAGAATCTTTTAATTGGTGTGGTAGAGAAATTGGATTATCATGCACATCTGTAATTGGCATTTTTATTATTGTAGGTTGAGCCTGTTCAGGAACCATTGATGGAATAGTTGTTGTTATATCATTGGAGATTTCGGTTTCTAAAGATTGTGATGGTGGTTTATCAATTTTACGTGGTTTCACCACTGATAAAGGTACATAACCTTGATTTCCATGAGAGTCATCAACCAAAAGCCATCCACCATTTTGAGAACAAAATAATATCCTTGATTTTGATGTAAAATAAGTTTGTCCTTTAACTAAGCGCATTGTTTTTGAATCAGGGTAACTCCAGTCATTTGGTGCTTTAAAAGCAACATTTAAACTTTCTCTTGAAGTAGTTGTAGAATCTGCCAAAGTTGCTAAAAAACGTATCATAATAATCATATGTTAAGGAAAGTATAAATTATTAATTTTTATTCATAATTTAGAATGAAAGTTGTACTAACTATTTGCATTCAAGGTAGGCAAAGTGCTGGATATAGGGGTAATTGAGTTGAGGAATTTGTACATCAAATAAGGTGTAGTAACTAGTAAGCCTGTAAAAACTATCAATGGCCAAGATCGATTATCAGAAGAAAACGATTCTTCTGGAGTAGTAGCAGATAAAGAAACCCATAAGTCTTCTTCAGAAATTGATCTTCTATCTCCCCTTACCAATCCTTTTAAATATATTATAATATATTAGAAATAATATTTAAGTATTAAATAAGTTTTAATTAAAATAATAATAATCGATATACTTAATAAATACAACAGTTTGGTCAAAAACCATCGAGCCAATTTAAATGATACAATGGTTGAATACAATTTCATCATAAATGATCTTAGACGAGTGAAATTCTCTGCTACACCTAACAATGCTTGGAAAGACATTTGCATTGCAGTCAATGTGGAATCCAACATCATACTGACAGCGTTGAAAGATTGGACAACAGACTGTATTGATTCAAAAGCAGGACGAGAATTTTCTGCTGCTGCAATGATAACACTGAAAATAATGTTTGAAAATAGCATTATTGTATTTTACATTATCCATCTAAAGTACCATTGCTTATTGAATTCAACTTTATAGTCAGAGGAAAAACTAAATAATGAAGCTTTTGAAAATGATCTTTCTTAAAAAATCAGATATATAAAATAAATGTAAACATTTCATTCATTACTCAACAATTTAAACAAAATACTGAGTATGTTTTACTGTTTAATTAAATAATATCGTAATGATGACTTACTAATATTTTTATATTTTATGAGTTTCAAAACTATCACCAAATTATCATTACTATTTCCTGTATATTTTTAATATACCATACATTTTCACAAGGTAGATTTCAAGTATATAGTAGGATAAATGAAACTAAAGTTTAATAATTGAGTATATTAATTTATTTAATTTAAATAAAGTGTCCTATTTATAAATTAACTCACTGAACACTTATTTTTAAACATAAGTTAATAATATCAAACGCTTAATTGATTTTAAATAGCAAGGTTTAAATATATTAACATAATTTAAATAGAAATAATAAAAATTTAAAGCTGATATCACACTTACGGGTTTTGAAATTGATTAGTCATGGGTTGTCCATATGAATTATAAGGATTATATCCACCCATGTTCATGTTCATATAAGATCTGTATGGATAGCTATTGTATGTACCACCATATCCAGCACCACCGTATCCGGTACTAGTAGTAGGAGACATATAATGCATTTGACTAGGAACTCTTCTAAAATTTCTTGGCATCATATTGTTTGCAGTAGTAGATGTCATCAAGGGAGGTATTGGTGTCATAGGAATTGGTGGTGGAACTCTGCCTGATGATGGGCCAGTCTGCGCATTTTGCAATAATTGATTGGATTTTTGGAAAGCGTCTTTCCTGAAAAAACCATCAAATATTTTTATAGAGAGAGTCGAGTTTTTGAAAAGTCAATAAATCTAAATACTTACAGAGTTTGAAGATCATCCATGATGGTTTTATTTATTAAAAATTCTAATACAAGTAAAAGTAATTTATCAACGAAATTCGAGAATAAATTTTAACGTATTAAACATTATATTCGTTAATCAGCAATAACCAAGTACACTTGGTTTCGGAATGTAATTGTTGAAAACGCAAAGGATTGACAATAAATTTATAGAAATCACAAGCTAAGAAAAGTGACTGATAACTTATCACGATATAATTCAGGGGTACTCAAGCCAATTAAACTATTGATGAAAAATTAAATTTTTTAAATCTGAGATCTATTATATATGACGATTAAAAAAATTAATTAATGCACTATATATTTAATATTTATACATTATAAATACAACTACCGCTTAATAAATAAATATTTATTTGAAGAATGTTTGTTTCCAAAATGTTCACTTTATATAGATGTAATATAATATTTAATTAAAGAATGTGTTCTACTTTCCGATAATAATTGATACCTACCTAAATATTTGGTAACTTAAAATTAAAAATATAGAATTTGACTAAAACTATATTGATGAATAATTCATGCTATTTATTGTTAAAAATTAAAAGTAATAGCAAAAAATATTAGCAAAATTAAAATAAATTTTCAAAATGCACATTTTACGAAAATGTTGTGGGCTTAGTGTTTTGAACATATTACATGGGTGAAATAATAATTATTAGGGCCCAGAGTTATATGCCCTAAAAACTTTAGAAATATGCACTATAAAATACGCATATACGTTCTTATATTGTAGGAATATACTCTAAAAAATAAAAAATATGCAAAAACTAAACTAATAAAACTAAGCTATCTGTAGAAAAAAATACCAATATAATCGACAACAAATTTGTTTAGCCTACTAGACGTTATTTTAAGAATAAATAAGTTAAATGGAATGAAAATTACGTACTCTCGGATCACGACAATCACGACTAATGTATTATCCTCGAAAATTTACTCAATAACATAATACTACTTGTCACGTTAGGTATCAGATAAGAAAATGACATCCTCAAATTACAGGGACATAAATGTAACTGTAAGTATGTTATTTTAATTAATACAAGCAAAATATTACATTTCAAAAACAGTATATATATGCAATAAAAAATCATGTAATATAGAAATATGCAGTACATGTCAAAGTATGGCAAAATATGCAAAAATATGCAAAATAAAAACTTTGTATTTCGGAGCTATTAACTATAATTCAAACTTGCAGCTTACCTAGCTATTTTTTTGGACTATTTAGAAAAAACATGCAAAAGCATGGAAATCCGGGCTCTTATAATAATTATTAAACATTTTACAATTTTATACTATATCATGAGATATTAAAGTTATTATCACTCAATTTTTTAAATGCAATATCATACACTAATATAAGTTAGATAGTTGGTAGCGATACTTGTAGGTGTATTAAAAATTAAACTTTATTAAATTAAAATAATTTTTCACTAATCATGTATGCAAAAATATGTAAAATTAGAACTAGAATATTTATATCCATATACACATACTATATCATCATATATTATATATGCATATATTCATATCCATCACTAATGTATTGTTTTTTTTTTGTTTTATTTTTTACAAATCCTATTACGTTTTACGTTCCTTGAAAGCCGATCGCTTCCGTCGCACAGTTCTAATCTGCCGTAATAAATGTTTTTATTCAACAATTATTTCCTAAAAACGATTTTCCCGTCACTACTGCAACTCTCCAAACGTTAATTTATTTAAGATCCGACTAACAAAATGGCCAGGCAATTTGATTGATAATCATTATAGATCAATAGTTAAATCACATTTTCTGAATAAATAATTGACAAGAATGTTGCTCTAGGTTCGGACAAAATTTACATGCACCCACATTTCTGCTATACCACTTGGAACTAGTTATCTAGAAATATACTTTGTTTTTGAAATACATATTGATCAAATTAGGACAAACTTTTATTTTTTCTGCAATTTTCATTCTTAGGATTGGTTTGCAGCAATTTCTATATTTCTCTATCGCTAATCTTGCTCTTTTTTGGAATGAATTACATTCTTATTCTTGGTATTTTATAATTTTACTTATTTATTGTAAACGTGGTCCTCCTCAACGGTTTCCATCATTTATTCTAATTAGTCCAAGAAAGCCTCTGTGTCTGAGCATATTCTCTATCCATTCATTTTGCCATATATCTGTATTTTTCTATGATGATATTCTCTCCAGAAACCTTTCTGAAACTTCTTCATTAGGACAAATTAATTTAAACTAAATTTGGGCTAAAATATTATTCAACATTTAAACCAACGTGACATTTATCGTACTATATAGCCTAATTTATTACTAGGGCTGGGATTTGTATGTAAATACATATTTTTAGTGAAACACGATAAATTAATTATTGCAAATGATAAATTCGTTTCACGTGATTTGCAATAAAATAAGACATATTTTATTTTACATATTTTTACATATTTCGTCATAAATACATATTTTTACATACTTTGTAAAATTTTCGTTTTTATTTACATATTTCGTAAATTTTGACAATTTCAGTGGTTTAGTAATATTTTACATTTTTTATTTCGAAAACGATATTCGGAAAATTGTAAGTGTATAATGCATATAGGAAATAAGTAGGTTAAAATAAATAATATTAATAACTTGATTTTAGTTTATCTTATCTGTTTCTGTTCGATATCCATACCTTTATGATGTTAGATTATACTTTATGTTATACAATTATTTGACAAAATATATTCACGAATTTACAACAGTACCTAACAGACTATCAGTTCTTGTGTTCGCGTGGTTGTGAAAACATCTTTGCATTTCGAGTTATAAATTATAATTTAAAACTAAAGACTTAATAATAAATTAGTAAATATAATGCCTAAAGTAGCTCGATCTATTTCAACTAAAATTTCAAATGTTATCCGTGATTTTCCTAACGAAACTTTTTCGAGTGATAATAATGTACTTTACTGCAATGCGTGTGATATAAGTGTTTCAACTACTCAAAAATTTCAGATAACTCAACATATCTCAACATCAAAACATAAATCTAACAAAGAACGATTAGTAAAAAAACAAGTACAATCAAAGCAGCAATTTCTTACATCATCTTCAAGTAAATGTAGTTTTAATATAGAATTATGTCGTGCAATGATTAAGGCAGATATACCTCTTGCTAAATTAGATAATCCACATTTCAAAGAATTTTTAGAAAAAAACATAGGTAAATCTATGCCAGACCGTAGTACTCTTAGAAAAAATTATGTTTCAACTATTTACGAAGAAACATTACTTAAAATTCGTGATTTAATTCAAAATGGTCCTATTTGGGTTTCTATTGATGAATCTACTGACGTTGAAGGCAGGTATGTTGGAAATGTTATTGTAGGTAAACTGAATTCCGAGCCTTCTGAGCCAATTCTTTTAACGTGTGAAAATTTAGAAAAATGTAACCATAAAACAATAGCAAAATTGTTCAACGATTCAATGAGTTTAATTTGGCCCAATAACATACAGCATGAACAAGTTTTACTACTTGTGACAGACGCAGCTCCGTATATGATTAAGGCGGCAAATGCTTTAAAAGTTTTGTATCCGAAAATGATTCATTTAACTTGTTTGGCTCATGCCTTACATCGAGTAGCTGAAACCGTCAGATGTCAATACCCCGATGTTGATTTATTAATTTCAACAACTAAACGAATATTTCTAAAAGCTCCAAGTAGAATTGAAATATTCAAAAATAACTATCCAAACATCCCGCTTCCTCCAGAGCCAATTATAACAAGGTGGGGGACATGGTTCGAAGCCGTAAACTATTATTCCAAATTTTATGATGAAATTAAAAATATAGTATCTATGTTGGATTCTGAACATGCAGCATCAATTTCCAAGGGGAAAGAAATTTTTGAGAGACCTAATATAAAGTCTGCTCTATCATATATTGTGTCTAATTTTAGTTTTTTGGGTGAATCAATTTCAAAATTAGAAAACACCAAGATTCCGTTGAGTGAAAGCATACAAATTATTGATTTATCAATTTCAAAAATTAATGAATCAGAGGGCCCAACAGCAGAATTATTAAAGAATAAAATGAACGTCGTTTTAAACAAAAATTCGGGACTGAAGACCATTAAATGTATAAGAAACATTCTTTGTGGTATTGTGGATGAAGACACGATGGAGCTCAATCTTTCACCTAGTGAAATAACAGCGATGAAGTATGCACCGATAACATCTTGTGATGTAGAACGCTCCTTTAGTAGGTATAAGTCAGTGTTAAGACCAAATCGCCGTTCATTTAATTTTGAAAATTTAAAACAATATATGGTTTGTCATTGTTTCCCTTACAATTGATTAAACATCAATTTATTGTATTTTTTTAAATTTTTCTTTGTACAAAATTTTTATTTTATACTACATATTTTTTATTTTATACTACATATTTTGGCAATTTTAATTACATATATATGTACATATTTTTGGTTTTTTATTACATATAAATCCCAGCCCTATTTATTACAATAGAAACAATATAGTTCAACTGTTTGATTTATTATTATTAGCCGGATATAATTTCTATATTTTACAGTATCCATGGATTCAATTTATTATTTACTTGGTGAAAAATTATTTGATAACGAATACGTTTGTTTTCATAGTATCAACTTTAACTAATTTGTAAACATATTTTTAGTATAAAACACCATTGTGCGTATTATTTACAATGTACTTTTGTGTTTTGAAGCATTAACATTCATTCATTCACACGATTACTATATACAAATACTCTTCAATAAATGATATATATACAAACTATGGCTATAAGTATATATATTTAGTATTAACGCCAATTGCATACAAGTTGGCAAGTGATTGCAATTGAAATGGTCACCCTCAATACTTATAGAAAGGGAGTATTAAGTGTCAGTATCCCTATACATAGCAATATAGCATGTTTTTGTTAAAATGTCTATATATTGCTAAAATAAACTGCTCTGACACATTCTACCGATATATCTTGTGTATAATTATTACGTGCATCTATAGAATATCATTCAGGGACGTCATTTGGGGTATTACAGGGTATGCTCATGCATACCTAAAATTTATCAAAATGCAATTTGGCCTGGCTATAATTTTTCTGCGCCGGGCAAAAATTATTCTTATTTTATTTATAATTGGTCTCAAGCATCGGCATCCATCATATTATAATATATATGGCTATAAGGTTTCCGTAGTAGGTATGTTGCTTGTGTTATGTTGAATTTTTGGAACATAATTTAGTTCAAATAACCTATATATAGGTAGCAGCGTCGGACAAATTAATGGCTAGCATAGATAAGTATAATATGGGGGCTAGGGACTGCGGCTAATCACTACGCTCAATAATACAACATGCTAAAATTAAACTGTTGATATTATTAATATTTTATATTATTATATATGTAATTTTAAAATACGATTATAGGCTGTGGTTGCGAGTTAACGACAATAGCAGCCCATACACAAAAGGTTTTCCCGTCAGTTTTGGAATGGCATTCCAAAACTGCCGATCAGGTCGTCAGTTCTAGTCTGTCGCGGTACAGAACTTTTGATACCCATTTACTGTCATTCCAGATTTGCCGAATTATACCGCCCCTTTGGAATGTAACGACTAGATATGTAGGTGTATGTTCAAAACTGTCAATTTTCCTGCGGTTATGATGTGTCACTAGATCTTTTGTCATGTTAGAAATATTTTTTGCTACGGGACAGTACCTAGTACGTAGTTGGCTCGTAAATTTCGTCCGTGGATCTGCCACTTCTTTTTAATGCATCAACTTTTTTCATCTCCTCTCTAAACGCGTTTCTTAGGTTTGTACTTTACTTTTTACAAAATCTGTGCTAACTAAAGGGAAATGTGGTTGTATTAACTCTACGAGACGTGCGTATGCTCTATTTTTTAAATTTCGGTTTGTATAATCTTTTAAATTGCCATAAACAATTATATTGTTTGTAGCAATTAATAAAATCTATGAGCAACTCCTTACTCCACTCAGAAGAAGACACAGCAGGAGATATAGGTAAAAGAGAAACAAAACAAGAGTACAAATTTTAATTTTAAAAAAATTATAAAAATCAACGACACCACTAGGCGCGTGTAGTTAGTGTTTACAACTAAAACTGTAAACTGTAGACTGTGACCGTCCATACACGTACAAGTCAAAAACAATATTTATCTCTCAAAAATATCTTTAGCGATAACGTTCGATTCGCGGTCTGTGATATTTTTATCCCATATACGTACAAATCAACTTGAGCGATTTGGTCGGCCAAGGAACAAATCCGACAGATAAACTTTTCGTATATGGCCTGCTAATGTCTAGAACGTCATAACAATTTTTGTGAACTGTACTTCTCAACTGTCCCCGTCAATCACAATCACAATAATAGATTTACTACGACATTGCTATGTTCACCATGGGAAATTCAGAAGATAACTATAAAAATAGATTTAATATTATTTTTTATAGTTTCACGTTATAATGTAATAAATTGTCATTTGTCACTCGTTATTCATCAGTGTTGGTTTGAAATTTAAAATATCGTGCATTAGTGTTATTACTTATTATTTAGTTTATCACGTTAAAATTTTATTCTTGTTGTGTGTACCTATGTACCTATTCAGTCATCTAGAACCCAGATATCATTGTGTTAAAACATAATGAATAAACGAAAAGGTGGTGCAGCACGTCTTCGGGAGAAAAATAAAAAACTACTTTTGTCTTTGGCCAATTCTAATATGAAAGTAGATTCGGTTTTTATACAGAGCAGTAAGGTAAGTTAGTCTATACTCAGTATAGTAATAGTCCACCCTTACCTATAAATATAATGTGTAGGTACAAAGTAGTGAAAATCGTAATTTTTTCAGTCTCAGATATCTAATATTGGAGTAGACAAGCAAAATGATTCTTGTATAAATGTAATAAATAGCAACGATGATATCCCTACACAAAGTTCTACATTTTCAAATTCATTGATAAATACATATGTAAGTAAATTTTTAAAGTAAAAAATAATTTTTATGTGTAGTTAAAACAATCATAATTTTTTTCAATCTTAGATATCTGGTATTAAAATAGACAAACAAAATGATTCTTGTATAAATGTAATAAATTATGATGATGTTGAAGTAATTATGCCTACACAAAGTTCTACATTTTTGTATTCATTGATAAATACATTATTATCAAATGACATGACTTGATCAAATTTATACATGGCGATCAAACAGTAAGAGCAGTAGGATTACTCAAAAAATTATCAACTTTTAAATTTATTATAATTTTGCAGGTAATGTCCTTGAATGTATACATTGTTTGTCATGTGAACTTCAAAATTCAAATATTTTTCTATCAAAGGCCATGTTATTAGTGAAATCTTCTAGGAATAATATCTTAAAATTGCGCTGTGAAGAATCGTGATTAAATTTTCATCAAAAAGCAACTGATATAGCAATTTGTAATGGCATAAAAATTCTAACCCATAATAAGCACGAGAAAAGAAAACAGACTTTCAATAAACATTTGAATGATTATTTTGTACAAACCACTCTGGGAAGAGATAAAAATGAAGAAAAAGATGTTTTAAGTATGAAAGTTGAGCTTTTGTATCAAGTGGTTGATTGGTATTTATTACATATCTAATTAATAACTTCATCAAATTAATTAATTCACAAAAGTATGTTCTTTTTTAGGATTGTAACGCAGTTAGATGAACGTTTTTCAATAAATGATCAAGTTTTTGACATATTTAATGTATTTGACTATACAAATGCTGACTTTCTTCATGCAGAATGTGGTACTATTAATAAGTTCTTATACCACTACAAAAGTTTTCAAATTAATACTTTAAACTCGTCATCAGAATTTTCTTCAATAAAGGTAATATTAGAACTAGAAAACAATTCCCAATTTAAATTAGAATTAATATTAAATATTGTTTAAATCTACCGTTTGCATTTCCTGAAACAACAAAAATATTGTCCATAATGTTAACATTACCAGTGACAACAGCATCTAATGAACGTTTCTTTTCTTCACTGAAAGGGATAAAAAATTTATTAAGAACATCAATTGGTCATGAAAGATTAAACGATATTTAATGGTTCTTGAAGTTGAAATCGAAGAAGCCAATCAAATTAATTTGAATGATGCAGTTGATGATTCTGCAAAAATGAAAGTCAGAAGTTACCCACTGTACCAATAGTAAACATAATTAAATTATTTTTGTTAATATTTATTAATATGTTATTATTTAAATGAAATAATTTAAAAATAAATGTTTGGTTTATATTAAATAACTTATGTGTGATTAAAAATTTCAGGATTTGTTTTATTTTCATAGTGTGTACAAAAAAAAAAAAAAAAATAAAAATAATAAAATTTAAAATAAAATAATGTAGGTATTGAGTATTGACTTGGGATTATTAGGTAGATATATACAATATTGATATTATATTAAATCATTATATTGTCGAAGGATGAAATTGTTGAGCATAGCGAGAACATTTTTTTTGTAATAACTAGTATATAATACATTGGCCTGCCTTGTTTTTAGCATAACTTTTCCAAAAGTTGAAATGACGCCCCTGATATTATTTATTGATAATGTATCATGCATAGTTGATATAATAACTTAGGAAATTTGAAATTATTTAGGTGATTATTTACAAATTACTATACTTTATATAATGTATAACTATTTCATGTATTTGTTTATAATTTTACAGTTCATTAATATTAATATTAAGGTATCAATTATTCAAAAGCAAACAAATTGTATTACATTTACAAACCTTAAACGGAAGCACTTGCTATAAAATTAATAATTTAAAAATCTATAATGATAAAGGCTGTAATGCAGTTGAGCAAATTTGTTTGTATATCAAAGGATATAGAAATACAAAAGCAACCTACACGATTTAGCATAAATAATTCTGCGATGTGTTCATTTTATATAGTACAAATTATGAAAATAGATCAATTTCATATGTATGTTTTATAAATAAAAAAATAAATGATAAAAATAAATAACTAAAATAATTAAAAAACCCTTAAGGTTTAAATTGATAGTAATAATAAATTAAATTGAAATACCTTAATATTGGTTTCTAAGTTTATTTAAATATAATAATAAATATTCTGAATCCTCGGAATTTGAATATTATTTATAAGTTTTACATTAAATTTTAGTCTTTTTGCTTCTTTAGTAGATTCTACTCATAATTGTGTGTTATTATTTTAAATTTAAGGAATTCTAGTCAGCACATGAAGGTAAAGTGAATAAAATTGTGAATTATATGTGCGATGGAAGCTTTCAGCTGCATTAATTGTACAAAATTAAATAAAACAGAAATTAATATAAAAGTTTTTTTTTTTTTTTAATATGAAATAATTTTTATGATATACAATAAAAACTTTGGTATTTACAAAGGAATTTTAGCCCAAATACTTGGTAGAAATTGGCAGTTATTTTCAATACAGTAGTCAGAAAATATAAAATCATCCCCATGAGGAAAAATTGGTATTAATTCGTGAAATGCATTAATTACTTCTGAAGACATAAATGTTAATCTAAAAAACATTTTCAACTATTTCCTTAGTTCATTACTGTTGTCCTTTTAAGCTACTCCGAGGGAAGGTTTGCCAACAATCTTAAATTAATCGATAAAGCTGAACTCAACTATCGGCTCTCGGTTCCTCTAAATTTAGTATCTTAATAATTGGTATAATAATATGTGAAAAATGTAAGTTAAAAACTTTCGGGAACGCAAATATGGCAACGTCGCATAAAATATTCTATGCTCAATCGTGTTGCTGAAAAGGTATATATTATATATTATATTATATAAGGTATACTCAATATTGTTATGCTCAATTGTTCTTCTCTGACGATAAATGCATCGAAAAAAAAAATTGTAATCGTATTTTAACTAATCACTCATCTTAAACTAAATACAAACTGTTTATTACACAGGTTTTGTAACCGGCCAAATCTAAAATGGAAAATCCACGAGGGGGAGGGTGGTCTCGATTTGTAGGAGCCCATGGGCTGCAGCCTACTCGGCCTTCTCTTAAATCTAGCCCTGCGCTTATTCATGATTTCGGAAAAATTAATTAGTTTTTATTTTTTCCCGAGTAATTTATAATTTACCATAGCACAATCGATATTTCAATATAGCATACTAATATTTTAATGGAGAGTAGTACAACTTTTATTAATAAAATGTTTATTGTGCAATAAAATATAAAATGAACAGTTCATAAACCTTAGATATACTGATCAGATGTGTTATTTAAAAATCTTAATGTACTAACTGTCACTTAGCTGTAACACAGAAATTCATTTTTTGTTAGAAAACTAGACATTGCAGTTACTTTTTGTATACGTATACTTGCATAGGATAAGAATATTGTATATAGGGTCATTGTTAGGAATTTGCTGAGCTAGATATTCAGCGACGCCGCCTTCAAGAATCAGTAATTATATTGAATTAGTCTTAGTTTTAATATTCTACTGTTTATTACATACTTATTTAATTCTATAGTTATGATACAAAATAAAAACATTAATTCAAATATGCCTTATTTTCATATTTTTATATTTTAGCTCATAACAATTATATTATGTGTTAAAACATAATTTAATTAATCATAAACTACATAAATTGTTATTGCTATTGTAGTTTATTTCTTCGGAAAGATAATGGGTCCCACTTAATGATTTGTTATGAACAAGAGATAAAAAAAAAATCATCATAATATACCTACAATAAAGATAGCAAAATCTTAAAATTATTTTGTCTACTTAAGATTAGATTAAATAAAAAATATTGTCATGTTATGAAATGGCTCATCAAATATCATTTTTTTTTTTTTTTTTTAATAAAATATCAAATTATTGCAATTTAAAACAGAATATATTAAATACTCTCTACCTATATTTCTTTTGTTCTATATTTTTTACAGTAGGAGCTAGTATACTATATATACAGTCGACTCTCAATAATTTGAAGTTTGTGAAACTTATGAAAAGTTTTAAATTACTAAGAGTTCGAATTACTGAATAGTTCGAAATATCGAGAGGTCAAAAAAAAAAAAAAACAGTAGAATTTTGCGTTTCGGTTTTTTTCATGTCCGCATTGAGTGAAACCAACCATTCATGGAAATAATTTATAACCTTAAAACGTCTAAGTTTGGCAGCTTTTCCTATAAAAAGTGGAGTTAACTTTTTGAAGCCATCCATATTTACTAAAAATAAAATCGTTAACCTATCTCTACTGAATTTTATAATATATCATACGTTATCGTCAACACTAGAAATTTCACTACAATTTTTTTTGAAAACCACATCGTTTCTTTTCGTAAAATATATTAGCCACCCATCACTAGCTGAGAAAAACGGGATGGCGAATGATTATGCTTTTTTCATTAATAAAAGGAACATTTTCCTCTCTGTATTGCTTAACCCATTGTACTACATATTCTTCTAATCTTGGATATTCACCTTTACTGTTATGTTTCCTACCATCGTTTAATGATGTAGCAACGATTTTAATTTATCCTTTAAAATCGTGGACAGTTAATTTAAATTGTCTTGGCCACATCGGATTTTTTGTCACCTATTTCCAATACTTCAATAAATTGTTTTTTCTGGAAAATCGTCAGACTTGTATATTTTAGATGCACTTATCACAGAAATTTACTTTGCAACCGAAAAAATGAAATTAAAATAAGACTAAAATGGGTTTTCGACAGGTTGAAATATGATAAGATATAATAAGGAAATAAAATGCATGTATATTGTGGCTATATATATTTGTATGTAATCGTATTTATATTAAAAGATCGATATTTATCGGAAGTAATAAGCTAAATGTATTATTTTACTTTGAATTTCTGAGTGTACTTGAACGTATAGTAATTATTTAAATTACTGCGAGTGTTTTAAACGAACGAGCAATTTTTTCGAATTACCAAAAGTTACGAATTATCGAAGGTTTGAGTTATTGAGAGTCGAGTATTTATATTTATCTTTATATCTTTCATATTCTCTCTAAATTTTATATTGTTTAATATACATATTTATTATATGTATATTATGAAATATTGTTAAATAAATTATACGAGTATGGTTCCATTATCAATAATGTATCTAATGGATACATCTAATGATTTTAAATTTTTTTTATGGTTAAAACCTATTGTTATTAATAATAACTTATTATAGACATAAATACATTTTTTTTTAAATTTAACTTAGACTGCAATTATATTATTATAATCAAAAAGCTTTTTTAAAAAGTCGAAAGACAAGTCGGTAAAAACTGTACGATAGGCAACTTAACATTCACTGTTAGTGAATACTTAGTTGCCTAGCGTACAATTTTTGCTTATCATATTTTTAAACTTTATTATAATGTAATACAGTATATCTCAAAAATTATGCCACTCGTATGAGTATTAAGGAATTACTAGGAAATTTTATTTAATCATATATTCATATAAAAACGTATATGAAAATATTTTGAGGTTATAGAAATATATTATTATCAAGGTGGATTCATACACTTTTATTATATCAGTCTTTATCATTTCCTCATTTCTGCATAAAACATTTCTGCATTGATATAGTCATATCATATTCATTTTTTAATATTATGTATGACAGGTTACGAGTGTAGATACTATGAAATTTAAAATATGCACTGTGGAAAGTTGAAATTTTTTACTTTAAAAAAACATTAAAATTGAAATATTATAAGACATATAATTAAAATTATGTATAGATATATTTGCGTTTATCTAAAGCAAGCTAGTTAGAAGTTACCTTAGATGAAATCTTTCTTAGTTAAATCTTTACCTTAATTTTAATAAATTTCAATAGTATTTTACTTGTATATAAAAATATGAGAAGTTAAATTTTTTTAGTACAGAGCTAGGGGAACTATGATACGAGTGCTCAAATTATTAGATTAATTTAATATTTTTAAATATTAATATAATATTTATATAATATAGGTAATATTATTTTTTTATATTTAAATTTTACATTTGGGCATCGGTTAATATGGATATCGACGAAATATTGGTAAAATGGTTTCAAATCTAATCAATACTATCGAGGTTAAAGAACCGCATAATATGGACGCTCGATTCGGTTTATATCGGCAATATTTATAGATGATAGAATATAT